ACCGGTGTGATATCTGAGAGTTTGGGAAAAAGAGCAGTTGCAGATATGGCTGGAAATGTAGATTGGGGTCAAATATTGAAGGACCTTGTTGTCCTGTGGGCAGTGGGGAGCCAGTCAGAGTTGACATGATGATAACTCTACATTAGGAAGACTTGGGCATATTTGTTAAGGATGTACTGGATGAGAGAGGGAAAGAAGTCAGGGAGACCTGTGAGGTGGCTATTACAATAATCTGGTGGGGAGGTAATGAGGGCTTGGGCCAGGGTATTGGCCAAGGGAATGGAGGAAAGGACACAAATACAAAGGACCTTAAAGGTAGGGTAGAACAGCTAAGTGGCACAATTGATTGAGCACTGGACTTGGAGTCAGGAAGACCTGAGTTCAAATCTAGCTTCAGATACTTACTAGCTTTGCTATTGTTGAGTCATCTTTTTCAGTCATGCTTGAATCTTTATGACCCATTGGAATTTTCTTAGCAAAGATAGTAGAGTGGTTTGCCATTTCCTTCTCCAGCTTGTTTTACAGATGAGGTAAACTGGGTTAAAGTGACTTACCCAGCATCACACAGCTAGGAAGTGTCTGAGGCTGGATTTGAACTCAGAAAGATGAGTCTTTCTGATTACAGGCCTGGCATTCTATCCACTGTGCCACCTAGCTGCCCTTACTAGCTGTGTATCCTTGGGCAAATCACTTAACTTTTATTTGTCTCAGTTTCCTTATCCATGAAACAGAGATAATAATAGCACGCACTTATGAAAGTTGTGAGGATCAAATGAAATAATATAGAATGTGCTATATAAATGCTAGCTGTTATTATTATTACTACTACTGGGACTAGTACTTGGTGACTGACTGGATATGAAGAGAAGAACCTAAGAGAGAGGGGAGAACCAAAGATGCCTCCAAGGTTTCAAGTACTAGGTAAATGGTATTATCATTGACAGAGAAGGCAGAAGTATTGGGGGGCGGGGGAAATGTGTTTAGTTTTGGACCCATTGAATGTGAGGGGTCAGTATCCAGGTGGATATGCCCAGCAAATAAATGGAGATATAGGACTAGAATATGGATCAAAGTTGGAAATATAGATTTGTAAGTATAGAGTTGATCCAATGGCAAGAAATCCTGTGTCTTTCCAAAAGCTTTCATTAAGTGAAGTCTGATCTCCCTTTCACCTGGGTCTGCATAATCTGATACAGGGCCCTGTAAATAGCAGGAGCTCAGGAAAAAAAAAAAGCTTGTTGATTTAACTGATTTACATAGAATGTGAACAATATGCCAAGCTCAAGACTATCCTTTGAGGTAAACAGGATAGATATTGGGCATTTCTGATGTGGGATAGCAGGAGCGTGTTAGAGCCAGCTCTCAAATTTTGAGCCCTTGGGAATCAACAAAAACCACAAATGCCTGAGAAGGATCAGGAGCTTTACAAATATTATCTCCTTTGATCCTCACAATCCCCTGGGAGGTAGGTCCGATTATTATCCTCATTTTACAGCTGAGGAAACTGAGGAAGAGGAAGACAGAGGTCCCACTGCTAGTAAATGTCCGAGGCACTAGATCTGAATTCAGTGTTTCTGACTCCAGGCCCAGCACTCTATCCACTTCACCACTACTTACTACAGAGTGATTAGGAGTGGTGCAGGGGTGGGGGTGGGGGGGAATGCCTTCATCTTTGTTGTGAGTAAGCATCCTCCATCAATCTACAAGCCCTTGGGAAATTCCCTAAACCTTGTCCCTTGATGGGAACCTTGCCCTTCATCCTTGCAGAGGCAGTATTAGGTAGTGGACAGAGCACTGGGAAGATCTGGGTTTGAGCAAGTCATTTAATCTCTCTGGCTTTTAGGGCCTTCATTTGTAAAAATGAGGATAATAACGTCCATAGTACCAAGAGTTTTCTGTGACATTCAAAGGAGATAATAGAAACAAACTTTGTAAACCTTAAAGCTATAAATGGCAACTATGACCATCAGCCTTGCATTCAGTGGGGAAAAGGGATGAGGCATCATGATATAAAACAAAGAGCATTGGGCTAATCTGCCATTAATTCACTTTTTTGACCTTGAGCAAATCACATTACCTTTCTATTTATAGATTTTAAATATCTGGAGAATGAGGTCACGAATAACCTAGTTGAATCTGTTAAACAATAATGTATTTTAATAGTGCGTCAGGGCTCTCAAATGTTATCATTGTCTCCAATAAAGCTGTGCTTTGTTTAATGTTTTGCTGGCATCAGTGCAGGAGAGCAGGGCCAAGAGAGAGAGAGACAAACCAAACTTGTATGTTCCCAGAAACATAACAGGACATAAAATCGCCAAGAATGAACCTGGTCCATGTGGGCTCAGAGCTTCTATCTGAAGCCTTGAGTTATATCAACAAAAAAATATTCTTGGCAGCACTATTTGTAACGGCAAGATTCCGGAAACAAAACTAGAGTTATCCCAAAATAAGGAAGTGAGTGAATAGCTCTGGGGATTATGAAATATGAGGTGAGACAAAATAAATAAACAGATCTGGGTATTATGAAATGATAGAGTGAACAAGACAGAGTAAAAAAAAAAGGTAAGAAAACATGCATGCTGACAATAAGTATGTCACTAAAGACAAAAATAACAGCAACAAATCCATGTTAAAAATATAGAATAAAAATATAGAAAAATTCAAAAGCAGTCACAGAAATAAGCAACTAACACTGTCTTGTTTTTCATATATATATATTATATATATATACACATGTATATGTGTATATATGCATACATGTATCTATGTATGTGTAGGTGATTGCATGTGTAGGTATGTGTATGTATATGTATCTGCATACACTGCACATAGGTACATGTGTGTATGTGTGTATGCATATGTGTGTATATGTGTATACACACAACACACATCCTATTTTTATTTTAAATTTGCATTTGAATACTTATACTTACTGATGTAAGTTAATACTCTTTAAAAAAAATAGCCACATAACTGGTTTTTCTACCTCCGGTATTTTCCTTCTCTGTCTAAACTTACAGAGCTACCAAAATAATTTCTCTAAGGCCTAACTCTGAACATGACATCCTCCTGCTTAAGAACCTTCAGTGGCTCCTTATTGCTTTCGATATAAAATACGAACCCCCAAGCCTGGTTTTTAAGACACCCCCATAATGTGGCTCCAATCTACTTTTCAGCCTTATTTTATATTATTTCCCTTCACAACTCATGTTCTGGTCAAACTGAATGCCCAAGTATTCCCCCAAACTTGGTATTCAGTCTCTTCCTGCCTTTGTACTTTCTCTCTCTTAACACGCACAAAATACATAGAAATCATTTCCCGTGCCTGGAAGGTATTCACTTCTAACTCTCCCATTTCAGAATCCTTTTCATACATACTCTAAGATTCAGCTCAGTTGTCATCTCCCTGTGGAGGCATCAAGGTGGTTCAATGAACAGAAGTTGGGGGCTGAGTTCAAGTCCTGCCTTAGACACTCAGTAGTTGTGTGATCTCGAACAAGTTATTTAACTTCTATCTGCCTCAATTTCCTCAATTATAAAATGGGGATGATAATACCACCTACCTCTACCTTCCAGAGTTGTTCTGAGGATTAAAGGAAATAATATCAATAAAGTGTCTGGTACATAGTAGGTGCTTGATAAATGTTTGTTTCCTTCCCTGATTCTCCTAGTTCATAGTAGGATCAGAGGGTCATTGGTTTAAAAGTAGAAAGGATTTCAGGGGCCATCTAGTTCAGCCTCCTCATTTTTATGGACAAGAAAACTGAGGCCAAAGGAGGTTGAGTGACTTGTCCAAGGTCAGCAGGTAGGTCAGGTCTCCCTATTCAAATTTTCCTAGAACACCGATTTCACCTTCTTCCCCACCCCACTTTCTACTTGAGATTATAAAATCTGTTGCATCCCTTCTATAGAATGTAAACTCTTTGGGGGCAGGTACTGTTTGGTGCTCTTTGTATCTCTAATACCTCTAGCATAGTGCCTTACAACAGGAGGTGTTTAATAAGCGTTGGTTGAAGTGAATTGAATTGCATCTGTCCACGGCTCTCTATTCCCACTGCCACTAAGCATTACAGGCCCTCATTACCACCCACTTAGACTACTGCAAAAGCTTCCTGCTGGTCTTCCTGCCTCTACTCTCCACCCCACGTCCAAAATGCTTTTCATGCAGTTGTCACACTAACCTTTCCTCTGAAGTCTTCTTTGGCTCCCTACTACTACTGAACAAAATCAACACTCCTTTGCTTGATAATGAAAGTACTCGATAATCTGGTTCTACTCTACATTTCCAGCCTTATCTCCTACTATGCTCCAGTACCTCTTCTGTGCTCCATCTCAACTATGCTACATGAATATTCTCTGTCCTTCATTGTTGTCTCTGCCTGGAAGGTCTTCTCTCTTCATCTTTGAATCCCTACCTTCCCTTAAAGCACATTTCGAATGCGACTTTCCCCATAAAACCTTCTTGGATCCCTTGGGTTGCTAACTAATTTCCCTCTGGGCCAGCATTTTGTTTTGCAACTCTCTACTTTATTTATCACATAATATTGTATATTGTAATTGCCTGTGTTGCTGTTTTAACCCCTTCCTGGACTAAGTAAGTTCTACAAAGGCAATTATCCAAGCTTTGTACATCCCCTAGTGTTCTGCATCATCTTCAGTACTTCAGAGGTCTATAATTTCACTGGTGTGGGTGCTTCCTTCACCAAGGCACCTTTCACCTTAGAAGAGGGTCTTTAGTGAGTTTCTGCTGTTGAAAAATTCACCCCTTGGGGACAATCTGGCAATAAGGCTCTGAACATAGAAGGGGCTCAATAAATATTTGTTAAATTAATAAATCTTCCAGAATTTATGTTCCATTGGCATAAGTTTTAGGACACAGAATGATATTGGAATAGGAATTTGACTACTTTATGGGTTAACTGGCATTTGAGATTTGGCCTGGGAATCTAACCACATTGACTCTGTGAGGAAATACAGTTGAAGTTTCCAGCTGACCAACAGATGAACTTTTGGAACACAACATTCCTGAGCTGTGAACAGGCTGTACAAGTAGAGAGAGCCTCGGTGGTCAAATGGGAGTTTAAGAACGTGACCGGATGAAAAAGAGGGAGGCCTCATCATGCCTGGTTGTTTAAGTGTCCTTAGATGAAGGAAGCTGGGTGAGTTTCTGCTCCTGGGGAGCGCATAGAAAATTTCTGGAAGGACTGTTTCAGTTTCTTGGAAACAGTGGAGGCAGAAACCAAGTAAATAAACAGAAATCCATCGGGAAGTAGATGTTGGAAAGCCAAGCAGACTCTGTTCAGAGAGTCAACAAACAGGAGATCTACAGTCAAGGTCTTCCATAGGCTGACCCAGACCAGCCTCTCAATCCTTATCTCTTAGAAAAAACACAGCTTGCCTATTTAGCTTTTTAGATCCAGCACCTATATTGGTCAAACATTGACTCCCTGACAAAATGGCATTCCCCTCCTCCCCATTCACCAAGTCCTACTTTGCCATCAAAGCCCACCATGGGTTCCATCCCTTCCAAAAACCTTCTCTGACTATCTCTCTCCCTCCCCTAGAATCTTGTAGTATTTACTCTCTGTTTCATTCTTTCCCTGTCTGGCACAGCTAGTCTTCTATCTGATTTATCTTTTTATATATATCCTGTGTAGTCCTTTCACCGTGGTTGTTTGTGCCTCTAAGGTGGGCTCATTCATCTTTATGTTTCCTCAATGCCCAGCACAGCACCCTATATACAGCAGGTGTTCAGTAAATGTTTGTTGGTGATGATCTTTAGGCTTTAAAGAAATAGCATAATAGGTAGTTGATAGGTCAGGTAAAATGTCAGCATCTAAGAGATCTCCATGAACCAGGAAAACAGATGCCCAGCACCAGGAGCAAGAACAAGATGCTGATGTGGAGTTCTCTTTTCATCCTAATGAAGACTGGTTCTAAGCGGGCTGGAGTTGCAAGGGGAGATAGCTGAAAATAACTGGTGGGGTGGTGAGGATGGGGAGGCACAGGAAGCAAAGTGTATTTCTTTGTTTTGGAAATGTTCCTTGTACTCTCAAGCATTTTTGTGACCTCTTTACCCTAGGACTCCAGAGCCATAACTAGATAAACCACCGTGCCTAGGTGGAGGGGCGGGGGATAAAATGGGCTCTTTAAGAAGATTTCATGGTGGTAGATGAAGAATGTCCCCTGGACAGGATCTCTGGGACACCTCAAGTCTACTGCTGGGAAGGCTGACACCAGCAGCGGAGGCTGTGGAGCAAGGTGGTGAAGGCTGAGCCAGAAGGAAGTCAGCGGAGGTGCCACAGGGGCTGGGGAGAGGGAGTGAACACCATCTGGTAGCTTCCTATTTTAACCACTTTTTCTAGCTCACTTAGTACCATTTGCTTGTCTCTATTCTGCTAGGTGGCGTCATAGAGTGATGGGCCTGGAGTTAGGAAGACTCATCTTCCTGAGTTCAAATCTGGCCTCGGACACTTACTAGTTATGTGACCCTGGGCACGTCATCTAACCCTGCTTGCCTCAGTTTCCTCATCTGTAAAATGAGCTGGAGAAAGAAATGGCAAAACCACTCCAGTTTCTC